GCCGAGCCACCTCAGGGTGGCTCGGCATGAGCCGAGCCACCCTCAGGTGGCCCGACTCCCCCCCCCTCTCTCTCTTGTGCACAAAGGCACAGTTCAGAGAGGCTATAAATAGGGGGGGTGGTTGTTCATTTGAGGGACTTCTTCTGAAACTTTTGAGAGAGCCGAAACTCTGCCGGATTGTCACCTCAACTCGGAGATCTGAAGGCTTGAAGACTTGGAGACCCGGATTTGATTCTTAGCGAGCACCCGCACCGAAAAAGGCAGGAGTTCGAGAGAGTCTAATCCTCAGATCTACGTCGTCACACTCCGGATCTAAGCTTGGTTCTTAGATCCCGAGATTCGAGCGGTCGTTTCCTTGGTGAAACGATCCCTCCCGGCTATTATCTCCTTGGTGGGATAATACCCGTAATACGTCGTAGATCTGCTTGGATCCAGATCACGCGGTGGTCCACGGTAAGCAACCCCGGCGCAGGCAAACAACCCACAGAAGCAAGAGACCGAATAACAGGATCTTGTGATTTGTTCGGTAAAAGAGAGAAGTTGTAATTTTGATTTCTTTGTTTTATTTTGATTTTCATTGTAAGCCGGATCTTATAAAAAGACCGGATCTCTTTGTAACACATAAAGTTGTTAACTGAGTGCAATGACATCGATAATGAAGAAAACACCAACTTTTCCCGCGAACACTTCCCGTCAGCGATATACATAATATCGCTGATGGTTTCCCGTCAGCGATACCTTTTGCTGACGGGATTCTCATCAACCATATTATGTACATCGCTGACGGGAATCCCGTCAGCGATAGGTATCGCTGACGGGAAGCCCGTCAGCGATAAGTATCAGCAGCTAAAAAAAGGGAATCCCGTCAGCGATAGGTATCGCTGACGGGAAGCCCGTCAGCGATAAGTATTAGCAGCTAAAAAAAATTCTGCTGATTATATACTCAGTTCCCTATACATATATATTCCCTGTACATCTCCAAACGACATTTCATGCGCATTCCAAAACATCTCGCAATGAATACAATCCAAATTTTCCCAATTAAACCTCTCATCCAATCAATTTTTGCAAACGTTCGAAATATATACATTCACTTTTCATGATAAGTTCCAAATCCACAATAATAATTTTCACAACAAACCATACACACATATCATAAGTTCTAAATCCACAACAAACCATACACGCATATCATAATCTCAACTATAAAGATGTCCACAATATACAAACACGAGTTTAGGATATAACTCACTAAGATAGGTCATCCGCCCTATCCATGTCATCGTCCGTGTTGCCACTGGCGGATCCATCCCTACGACTCGTGCTCCCAATAGCATCATCTCAAATCTAACAACAAAATAATTTAAATTTAGAATCACATAATATTGTGTGTAATCATGTTTTACATATATAATAAGTATACATGTCTGCTACTCTCTCCACTACCAGTAAATACCTTTTGAGTGGCCAAGAAGTTCATAATCTGGCTTTGCACCCAAGTAGGAACCCACCTTCTACAAGATTTTATTATTTGCCTAGAAACCATCGCAAAAGTAGCAGTAGGCTGGATCACTCGCATAAGCTCCTCTTGAATATCCTCCCACATCTCCTCGGGAATCTGACCATCTAACATATTCATCACAGAGGAAACAAGCTGCATCGCCTGCTGAGTGCAATCCTCCTGCGGCATGTAAGAGGGCCCCGATGGCATAGTCGAGGGTGTTGAAATCGGCGGAGGCTGGAATTGTGTAGACACCCTCTGAGCTCCAACTCCCATCCACCTGGTCCTCCCTTTTTTAGGAAGTCCACAAACTAAATGGCTCACATTATAATTCTGCTCTCTAGTCAGGGGCTCTTGGCTCTGTGCAACAACCTTAGAATATGTGTTTTCCAGAGCTTCCTAGAAGTCAAAAAAATAAATTTAAGAATTGGCCTTTCAAAAATAAAAGATATTTACCTGAACAAGTAAAATAAAAGTACATGTGAAGGGTGTTTTGTACAACATAAAAGTACATGTGAAGAAGGGTGTTAAGTGCTAATAAATAGTTGAAGGGTGCTTTGGCTTGTAAGGTGATAGGAAAAGTTTTGTCATTAGCAATTCAAAGGTTTTCGAGAATAAAACCAAGTAGATCAATCATGTTACAGTATGTTATTTCTTATGCATTGTTATATCCTAACAAGCAAGCCCCTCATACGAATGGGTCATAGTAACTCGGGGAAGAAATGGAACACTAAGTATAATCTTTTGCTCTGTGTAAACAGTAACAACAGCATTGACCTGGATGTAATGAGTCATCTGTTTTTCTTTAACATTTTTTTACTTGTATTAGTGTTACATGATGTATTGTTTTTGTGATTGCTTGCTTGCTTCAGTGCATAATAAGACATTCCTGTAGTATTCTGAGTCAATAAAATTTTGTACACTACTGTCAAACACAACAACACCAATTTGAATGGGACACTTGATGCCACTCCTTTGAGCTCCTATTTCTAACTATTATACCGGTTTATCTTAATTTCTATGCATATTCTCATAAGTTCCTAGACATCTCGTTCTTGCTCATTCTTTGTTCTTTTTATCATTACGATGAAAAAAATTAAATATTATATTACAAGGGTCAGCCTAAGATGATTAAATCAGTAAAACCATGAGTATGGAACAAATGGGTAAATGAAGGACTTATAAGCATCACACTTTCATCCTTGATGACGATGACAATGATAAAGTGCTGGTTGTTTATGTATGCATCATGCTCCTTAGTAAATCCCTTCCCTTAGAAAATCCCTCCTAATGTGAAGCAAGATAGGCCTACCTACTAAATAATCAAACGAACACATGGAAAATCTACCAGAAACATGAATATTATACTTACCCACAATAAAAACAACCCAATATAATCATCATATTTAAAAGATAAAATAAAATCAAAGTTCATGAAGAAGCTTGCATTACCATAGATGTATGCATGCATCTTCCTTAACACATTCACACATATAATTCATGTATGATAATTAAGATGACCAAAAGAAGAGTGCAAACAATAAATTCCCAACATGATAACAGGCTAATAAGAGCTAAGATAATTAGTTAACCTGCATTTTCTTGGCCAATTCTAGCTTTTGTTTCTTAGTCTCATCGTCATCGTACCCCTTCTTAAATTGAACCATCGTTCTCCTGTGCAGTTCTGGTAGTGGGATAAAGGGAGCGTTCTGAGATTTAAAAATATATTTATTAGTTTTATTTATCAAATAATCTAAGAAATGGAGAGAATATATATAGAAGATTAAAAGACTTTATACCGTTGTCCTACAAAATTGATCCTCAATCTGGACAAATGAAGTAGTCCCCGTATGATGATCATAATCTTTTTTCCATCGATTAAGTTTATTTCTCCTACATTTTTCCTTCAACATGAACAAAGAGAATTTTAGTACATGTTATAATATACAATGGAATATATCACTAGTTTCAGATAAATAACTTGATGATAATTAACTACTATACATATTTACCTGGTGCTCCTCTTGGCCCCACAATATTATAAGTGCAGCTAAGTGCTCAGGCTCAACCCTCTTATCTCGCTTGTATATCCTCTCCCAGTTGTGAGTGAAACAATCAAAGCATTTCTTCTTTATCTCATGTCTCCACTCCCGAAGAGAATGCTTGAACTTTCCCATGTATCCAAATAAAAATTCCCACCCTACGGGATTGTCTTCGATGTTGAAATATCTCTAAAAATAAAATATAGTTAAGCATGGACAATTGATAGAATTGAAAAATAATTGTGCTAAATATAAGAATTTACCCAACAATCTCGATATATACTCTCCAGGACATGAAATGGCTGCTCCCAAGCCTCGTAATAAGGATTCACATTATCACTCCTCCGTATCAAACATCCAAGGTATGAGCTGAAGTTATTAGCCCATTGTCCGGTTGGAATCCCATTATGTCCCCATCTCACAATTGCTCGAAAACCATCCGGTGGTAACTTTTTTTTAAAGTCACTTCCCTTGGCATCCTTTTTTCTGGTAAAGTTTTTCTCCTACAAAAAAAAAGATATATCAACACTTTTATTTAATCAATCTTAAGCTCTTAGAATTTACTAAAAAAGAAAGAAGAAAAATATTAAGGAAAAGAGAAACCTGAGAATATTATGTTTATTAGATATGGATACAATTATGAAAAGGAAGAAGAAAAATATTAAGGAAAAGAGAAACCTGAGAATATTATGTTTATTAGATATGGATACAATTATGGAAACATTCAAATTTCAACATTCTGGAATTGATTATGTTTTCTTATTAATAGACTCAGAATTGATTAAGTTTTTGATCAAACTCACCAAATCTTTGTCTGATTTCATTTTTTGCATCAGATAAAATCTCATCAATCCGTGGGGCTCATTCATCCAATCTTTTTTTCGCAAGCATGTATTTTTCTGTCTGCTTGAGTCTGTACCCCTCTGCACATGCTGGTAAGGGCCCGCGCTCAATCCCAGGAATGTATGCTCGAAGTATAACTGGAGGATCTGCATATAATGGTATGTGAGTCGGCTCTTCCTCACCCTCACCTATAAAAATAAAAGAAATAAATTATCATTGTGCATATATCATGAATAAAAATACTTAAGTTAAACTAAGTTATACCTGACATCTCTCCTGAACTCGGAGGCTCTTCCTCAGTGGATTGGCTTGGCGAAAATAAATTAATATAACATAGATGCAAATTGGCTTGGCGAAAATAAAAACAATATGTTTTGTTGCGTTACTAAATTTTTCATTTCATATCAAGTTTGTAGGCATCTACAAGCTGAATATACAAAATAAGATATTACATATTTATATCGTCCAAAAGGTAATTGAGATACATTGTAGTGATATTAAAGTTTTTATTATACAATTTGCAAACTAAAAAAAGTTACATGAAGACCCGATTACAAATAATTGCTGTTTAGCTCCTATTAATGTATGTGATAATATTTGGAATGTCTGTCCGAGTTGTTGGAGCATCCGTTTCAAACACTACGTTTTCAGGGTACGAGAATTCATCGATCGCTGTATTTGGCTCATTGAAGTTGTTTATATAGCTCTCCTCATCATCTTCATTAGTGGAAGGTTGAATATAAGCCCTAGAATCCTTGTACAAGACAACCCACTCGTCTTTAACTGTAGGATCTTTCACATAGAAACATTGTCCCACCTGAGATGCAAACATGAATTTTTCATCACTATCAATTTCTTTATCGAGATTGACAATTGTAAATCCAAAGGGATCCTTTTGAGTCTTTGTAAAACACCAACAAATCATGAACATCATGTATTTATGTTCATTTAGACCACCATAGCCGTAGAATATCTCCAGCACATCTTCCAACCTTCCATAATATGTCATATTATTTTCAACTGGATTTTGATCTCTTCTGTTTGAGAAACATTCCCGTGAGAAGGTAGCCATGACACCACTATTCTGGGTGACCTTCGTATCATCAACCTCCATTGTGTGAAATTTATAACCGTTAACACGATACCCACCATATTGAATTACAGCATAGTAAGGCCGCTTTGCGTGAACCTTCACTTCTTCTGATATTTGATTATTAAGGACAAGTTGTTCCTAGATCTAAATATACAAAAATAAGCAAACTATTAAATCAATAATATCTAAGTTTTTTATCAATGAAATACAAATATTGTTAAATTTAACAATACTTACTTCACTATTCAACCAAGCAGGGAATTCCTTCATATGCCTTTCTTTAATGTCATGTACAGCTATACTACCAGTAACTTTATTCTTAAGTTTTTCCTGATGTTGCCTATTAATGTGCATAGATTTAATTATTATTGTCAAAATAAAAATTTTGTCAAAATAAAAATTAAAGAGTAAATGGTATTAAAAACACTTTTTAGATATTTTACCTCCGGTACTCCGAGAAGATTTCAAGATTATTTATAACATATGCATGCGCTTGATCTAACAATATGTTAGAATAATTTTTGTTCAGCCCGCGAGGATAGAGAACTGTGTACTCCTTATTATCAACGGGTGCTTGAAGTTCAGTTTGTTCCCCTCTCATATAACGAGAGGCAAATAAGAGACACTCGCTTCTCACGTAACTTTCAGCTATTGAACCTTCTGGGCGAGCTCTGTTACGCAATTGACGCTTCATTGAACCCAAATATCTAAAAAAGGAATATTAATCAGATATAGATGTAAAGAAATTTACATTTAATAGATATAAATATTGATAGGTAACGATTAAATTTTTCTAAATACTAACCTCTCTATTGGATACATCCAACGATAATGGACTGGTCCTGCTATTGCAGCCTCCTCCGCGAGATGATGTGTAAGATGAACCATTATTGTGAAAAAAGATGGAGGAAAGAGCATCTCCATTTCACACATTGTTTCAGAAATATTTTCTCCAAGTTTCTCAAAGTCACGGGCGTCTATAACTTTAGAAAAAAGCTTTCTGAAAAATCCACAAAAATCAATAATAACCTTCACTATTTTTTTATTCTGCATAGTACTGCGTAGTGCCACAGGTAGCAATTGATGAAGAAGCACGTGATAATCATGAGTTTTAAGCCCTAATATTTTCCTTTCTTGCACCTGGACATAGTTCGATATGTTTGCGGAGTAACCCTCTGGTAACTTTATTGATTTGAGGACTTGACAAAATGTTTGCATCTCAACTTTCGACATTGTAATACGAGACGCAGGCAACTCTAATCGGTCATTTCCAATAATTTTTGGCTGCAGTTCCTCTCTAATGTTTAATGCAGTTAGATCTCGACGAGCTCGTAGATCATCCTTTGATTTATTAGCATCTTGCAACAGTGTGGACAAAAGATTATCACAAATATTTTTTTCAATGTGCATAACGTCCAAGTTGTGACGTATTTTTAGCTCTTTCCAATAGAGGAGTTGAAAAAAAATGCTGAATTTTGTCCATCCTGAAGGTAATTTTACGACTTCAGCCCCATCACTCACCACTTGTGCTTGTCTCTTTCGTTTTGGTATCCTTTTGTTAATACGCAAGTTCCTTACTCCAAGTAAATCTTCTTTCGAATAGCGCTTCTTTCCAAACCTGACGGCAGGGAACATCTCAAGCAAATGTACAATCTGATCCCCACGTAATGGACGCGGAGCATCTCTCTTCTCAACAGTATCATCAAAAAACTTGCTCCATTTTTTGGTTCTGTACCTGTGTTTTATGTTCAACCACCTTCTATTAAACCAATAACAAAACTTTCGACTGTGCTGCAGATAAAGACCTTTGAATTCTGAACCACACACTGGACATGCATATGTTCCCTTTGTAGACCAACCTGAAAGATTCGCATAGGCTGGAAAATCATTAATTGTCCATAGTAAAATAGCACGTAGTCTGAAAGACTGCTTTGCATGAGTATCATAAGTCATAACCCCTTCAGTCCAGAGTTGTTTTAACTCATCAATTAGCGGTTCTAAAAACACATCTATGTCATTGCCTGGTGCATGCTTGCCTGGTATCAATAATGAAAGTATCATCTATTAATTTCATTATCTGTGCCAGCTCCTCATGATCAGTCACGCCTCCAGCATTTCCTGACTCGTCAGCATCCTCGGCATCTTCAGATTGATCTACATTAGGAACTGTTAACATATCCGCGAGCATCGTATGTGTATCATCTATTCTCGTATCATCTATTCTCCCACCGGACGTACCGGTATCCGCCATCAGTTCCATTTCTTCAAGGCATCCTTCCCCATGAAACGTCCAATATTTGTACTCCTCATGGAATCCGGATATTAAGTGTTTTTGTAAATCACTTTTATCCACCAACGCCCTATTTTTACACCAACAGCAGGGACAATACACGACATCACTATTTAACTTCTGTGGGTCTGCCAACGCGTATTGTATGAATTGATTTATTCCATCTTTATATCGACTATCCCTCCATCTATCAATACGAGGAATATCGATCCATGATTTGTCGGGAACTATCCTCATCTGTATGATATTAAGCATAATTAGGTAATGTGAATTTTTATTAGTAACGCATCAAATTAACGGTTGCGTGATATTAACTTTCTTCACGACATCAAGGAAATTCAAATTATAATAATCTCGGAGGAAAAATTACCAGAACATAAATTATGTGGGAGTAAAATCTAACGCTCATATTTTCAATAAGAGACTTTAACGGCTGTCATAGGAAATGGACCTATCCCATTAGGAATATAGTAGTATCTACAACTACCTTCATCATCTTTATGCGCTTTTATTTCTTAAAAATTTCGGCAGCACCTACCCGCTGTTCTCCGAGTACACTGTACGGATGTTATAATGCATATCAATCATCGATAATAGATCGATTATAGATCGAAACGCAAAACAACATACGATTATTGTACACGGAGAACAATGCGGTACGTGTTATCGAAATTTTGTAGGAATAAAAATGCGTAAAGTATACAAAGATAGACGATACACTACTGTATTCCTAACCTGTACGAGAAGGGGAATCCTCCCCGGACAGATCTAATAATTATTGCATATAGAGCATACTCCTAACATAAATCACGTTATTCTCTTTAGATGTAAAAAGTATTTTCACATTCAACTAGAATTGCGTGAGTTTATATCAGAAGAGACTCACATCCAACAATATTAGACGGGAAACTAGGGGTAACGACTTCTGATTCATAAAATCATGATATATAACACAATACAAACTCGATATATCTAACTAATTAAAATTTTCAGTTAAGATAAAGGCTAAATATCAGTAAATCCCATTAACTTTGGGACTATTATCAGATAACCCCCCTTAATTTTCAAAATATCAGAAAATCCCCATTATTTTGATCTTCATATTAGGAAAGATAATTAAACTTCTTCATATTAGGAAAGATAATTAAACTTAGCCATCCACATTAAAGCCCATCAAAATCCAATTTTGAACTGAAGAATCAAAAAAGGACAAGAAATTACCGCTTGGATCTCTTGCACTACAATCCAAGAAAATGTAAGACCGCTTGGATCTCCAGCACTGCAATTGCAAGAAATCAAATATCAGATCAGAAACAACAACAAAACCTAAAATTACAACAAAATAATTTAAAAAAAATCACTGACAGAGAGGTTTCTGCGAGTTGATTATCAAATAATTTCCGTTTTCAGTTTTGGAATTTGTCAATTTCTTTCTTTATGGTCACAATATATTAAACATAAAGGTTAATTGCAAATAGACCCCCAGCCGTATTGTTGTTTCGAACTTAGTACCCCTGTAGTTTTATTGTTATAGATAGACCCCTGGATTATTGTTATTATTATTGGCTATTTTAAAAATTTACAACAATACCTAAAAT